CCCTTCCCTTCCCTTCCCTTCCCTTCCCTTCCCTTCCCTTCCTTTCCACTATAATCAGAGCCGATGCTGTCTTGAGCCTTCATTTCCCAGTGCTGCCTGGATCATTCCTATGGCTCTTGCCAAAGCTGCTCTCATCTCATTTCAAGGACAAAAATAGTAAAATTTTCCGAGCCAAATCGCAAGTGTAAATCTCTTTTTTTTTTCAGAGGAATTACTAGAATCCTCGTCTCTCCTAATTGTTTCTACGCTGTCATTCCCTTCTCCCTGGGGCCTTCCACCTCTGYGCCTGGGGAGCAAAGCTGCATCAGCTAGAGCAAAGGAAACTAATAAACAAATAACGCTGCTGGGAATGGCGAGCACCTCCCAGCGCTGTGAATCCTGCCAACAACGTTCTCAGAGCCTCATTGCCGTTAGCAGAGTCTGGGCCTCGAGGGCTGGCGGCGCTGGGCCCTTTGGCTCATCTAACTTGCTTTCCCTTGGCCTGAGCCAAATGCTCTTCTCACAGGAAGTCTTCTTCTGAGACCTGCACAGTTGCTGGGCTAGACGGGCACTCAACTTGTCCTGTGGTGACCAGGAAACCAGAGGGAATCCAAGAGCTGGTGAGAGAGCTGCRGTTTGAAAGAGAACTCGACACTACTGCTGGAGGAGGGATGAGTAGCTAGAGTCCTCGGCTTCAATATTTAGAGTTTTGCATTTTAGCTCTTGGGTTTTTTTGTGTGTGTTGTTGTGTTGGTTTAGGGTTTTGTTGTTTTGGAAGGGTTTTTGTTGTTGTTATTTTTGTTTGCTTTTTTTTGCTTTTTTCTTTTTTTTCTCCTGAGGCCAGAACGCTCCGTTCCCCGTGACAGGCGTTACACGTGCTCTGAAGCCTGGTAACACCACTGACAAGTTCTGCTTTCTGGAAGCACAAGCACAATGAATTTCAAAGCAAACACAGGCCTRTTTCTGAAGTTCTTAGGCCTCCTTCTCCAGGTAGATTCCCAGACTCCCAAAGCTGAATTGATCTGCTACTATCTTGGACATTTTGGGCTCCTAGGCCATGGCTGCTTGTTTCCTCCAAGCCGCAGTGCAGTCTGCAGCTCCTACAACCTAATGTACAACAGTGTTATGGACCATTTTCCTGATATTCCCTTAATCTCTCCCATCATCTACCCTCTTGCTCATGCATCATTGCCAGTCTAACATTTTATTTCTGTTCCAGCCTCTTCATTTAATATCTGCAAGCTGTTGTGACATGGTAATGGAGGATAATTTATAAGTTTGACAGCAGATATCCTCGGTGGGTTTACATTATGCTTCGTAATGTCTCATCAGTTTATTTTGAAATTATGTTTACTATGTGAAAACCCAGAGCAGTTGGGAGGGAGCAGTTTAAAAGCTTAAGTAAATAAATATAAATGAAGCATGTCAGATATATATGCTTCTGGTCTTCTAGGCTGTCCCTCTCCAATAAAGTTGTTTTTCATCATCAGAATGATAAAGAAGATCCTTAAAATGCATTTGGGAGAAGAGCTCGTTCAGCCCATGCAGTGAAATCCCATCCTGCGTCAGCTGTTGGCATGCCTGGGAGCTGGTAGAACYGAGATTTTCCCAGGAAGATAAATGGCATCTTGGACAAAGTCCCAGTTCTCCTGCTCGGGTGTTTGATATTGTATCGTGTGGTCTCAGCCTTGCTCCGCTGCAGCATTCCCACCATTAATGAGTTCAGAGAAGAGCCTGTTTCTTATAAAATGAGCAAATAAATACAAGCCAGGCCAAGTCACTAGGTCACAGATGAGACAAGAGTTATCTGCAGGACAAGCAACCGTCAGTTTGAGGCTGTAAAGGACTCTCAGCTATTGGAGCGGGCTCCCACCAGCAGGAGCTAATGGTATGTCAATCTACAGAAGAGCTTCCTTCCATAATGTGTGGGTGTTTGAGGGAATAATCCCCGCAGGATCCCTCTGTGCTCGACTTACAGCTGTTTAACCTTCCCAACACACAGCACAAGTATGTTTTGCTGGGAAAACGTCGGCCTCCTTTGGCCTCACACTGACGATCAACCATCTCTCCACTCGGAGATCCAAAGTGCACGAAAAGAAAGACTCCAGCCTGCGTGGTCCGAACACCTGGGCTTTGCTGGTGCAGTTATGTAAGCCAAACAGCCTTCGGGTTTATCTGGAGTGTATGCAATGAGTTCAGGGCTCTGGAATGGAAAGTCTGTGCAGTTCAGAGCAAATAACGGCTCGGTATCATGTGGTGAGGTTTGCAGTGCACGTTTGCAGGCTCTGGCAATCAAAACCTTTGGTTCCATGTATGTGAACCAAAGTCCATTTCACGCTTTCCTTTTCATTTGAGGGCTCTGCTTTTGAGCAAGAA